AGGTCATATCAGACCCTCTCACTCCCTCACTCACCTCCCTATGTCCCCTATTAATTTTACTTCCCAAACATCTCTCTGCATATCCCAGGCCCTCCTGATTCTATTTGCTACTATCACAACCTATTACCTATTTTGCCTGACTTTGGCAAAATTCCTACTTTATACACTCACCATAATGATCTATTTAAAATGAAAATCTAATTATGGCATATTCCTGCTTAAAATTCTTTAACGAATGAAACACACTTTTCTTAACCATGCTTCTTGTTTGCCAGTGCTTTCCTTCTTATAAATACTGTAGCCTGCTCTTAATAGTCAGGTGTACCTCCTCCAAATTCTAGGCTATTTCATACCTATGCACCTCTAACAAAGTACATGATGCCATCTTACTGCAATACCATTCCCAGATAGTCTGCCTGGCCAACCTTGCTTCGTAATCAGCGGTCCTTTGTAAAATACCTTAAGTATTATTCTAGTGAATAAGTTATCTGTCCAACTGAGGTCCTAATCATTAACTCCACTAGCAACTACCACTTAAAAACGGAATCCATTTCTTCCTTTTTTTTTTTCCACTTTCTACTACATTAAGTACTTTCTACTACATTAAGACCTAATAAATACTTTGTTGAATAACCAAATTTAGAGAATAAGAAGTTATAAAAAATACAAGTATAACAATCAGGTCCTCCTTAGTTCAAATTTATATGAGCATCTACTTCTGAATAATTAAAAACTAGTTATCCTCCCTAGGTCTCAGTTTACTTTCCTCTAAAGTTCATAATAAGCACACAGCATGTGATGACAGAGCAACGTCTAGAATCCTTATCTTAGAGTAACAAATACAGGAAACTTTCTATGGTAAACAAAGAGCTGGAAGAATAAAATATTAATGCTTCTCAAAAGTGTTAAGTGGTACACAAATGCAAGACAGTATTATTTTTTTCTGCTTAGCTTTAACAGAAGAATTTCTGTAAGAGGATGTAAAAGACAAGTGATCCCTACTCAGCCATTTACAGAACTTTGCCCAAAAAACTTTTAATAGACTTTATATGTGTTTAGTGTAACTGTAGGCATAGGATGCCATTACAAATGTAATTAATTTTCCCTTATATTTCTGCCATGTCATACAGTTACTCACATAGCAACAACTAAAGCCTGGCAAAAGCATACGATTACTAAGCCAACTATCCAACTGTAACACTAGAAAAATCATGACAACTGAACTATACCACTCACGGCAATAGACTGACATACATAAGAAGCTAACATAAATAGGTTGGACTCATGTCTCCAACCTGATTATAAAAAAACATTCTACTGAATTCCTTGTACTAAATAATTCATAGTAGTGAATTCTATCCTAACAAGCTGATAAGGTCCTATGGAATAAAGGCTGAAAGTTGGAAATGCTTCATTTCTATGAATTATTTATTATAAGGTCATTTGTTCACTAACCAAAATCTCATCACAAAAAAAATTAAAAACACTTCTCATTGAAATAAAGGGAAATTTTAATAGAGTTTTCTGAATTAACACAAGATTTTACAATTTACTCATATTTTAAAGAGCTTATTAATTGCTGCTTATTCGATTTTTTCTCATACCTAGTCTATAACCACTGTTCTATGCACTGATTATTCCTAAACTTCCAAAATCCTCTTTTCCTTTATATACTACAGTTTACAGTAACCATAAGATAGTTCTAAAAGATTTCCTATCAATTATTTTATTTTATTTCATTTTTTTTGATGCTCCTAAAAACTAAACAAGTAAACTGAGGCCTCAAACTAAGTGGTAAAGTAATGACTCCCTTCTCAGGTCTGGTGTCATCTCCAGTGAACTTTCCCATTTAACCCTTACCCAGGCCCCCACGACATTCTTGAGATGTGAATCAGTCATAACAACAGAGTCTGTTTAATGGATAATTAGGTTAGTGGGACAAAATCAATGTCTAACAAAACAAAGCTAGCGTGTTACTTTACTTCTAGGGAAACTCCGGCCTTTTCCTCCTCCTGCCTACACTCTTCTCCCCTCAAAAAAAAAAAAAAAAAAAAAGAATACCAATTCTATCTCTGGATTTGCCTGATCTCTTTTTTACTGCGCAGACTTCCAGTGCAAACCAAATTAAGAGAAGATTAAGAAAGATGGAGAAAAAGCAAGCATATAAAAGCCATTCGCTCACAGGTTACACAAAATTCTCCTAACTTTTAAGAGAAAGATTTTTCAGTGTACACAATTACTTATAAGGTAAATCATGGTTACATTCTGTACTTTAAAATTTACCTTCTAAGAAGTTGCTGCTGCTATATTATTCTTGGTATTAAATGGATTATACAAAGTTAACCAAGGCAGCTGCTAACCAAACTTTCTCACCAAACTCTGCCAAGTTACTGCAGCCCCGACCTGCACCATCCTGTAATCGCTCCCTTGCTCTTCTCCACAGACATCATGCCAAACTGTGTGTGTGTGTCTTTTAACAGATGCAAACATCTACTAGAAACAAATGTACCTTCTCTGGCACACTTATTAAGTGAAACTAGGATTTTCCAGAGATATTCTGCAAAGAATAAAGATTGTTATTTTAAATTAATAGTAGGAATAACAAACATAATGCTGTTTGTTCATCAGAAGCCATCTAGAAGTTTACATGACAGACCTTAAATATAAATAACTCACAAAAAAATTGAAAGTTAATATCGATTACAGACTTCACAAACACTAAAACAGAGTTATATAATTGAGGGCATCTATCTAACTTTATTTTCGAAAACCTTCTGAATCTGTGAAAATCCATTCCTTTAACTAAAGAAAGATAAAAACCTTAGAAAGGTAGCACAGAAACAGCATTATTTGGGTTTTCACAAGAAAATACCTAACATATTATACTTAGAGCTAAAGTCAAACAGCAACACAAATTAACTTTTGGTTTCTCCCAGTATTCATTGAGTATTTACTCATTACCTTCTAATGAAATTGCCCTTCTAAGTGAGCAAGGATGAACAGGACCCCTGCCACACTTTCTAGACAGACTCACCTGCTACCACACATAATCTATTGCCCACCCCCCATGCTGATGACCACCAGACTCTACCCCAGGCCAGACTTCTCTGCTGAGCTGAAGCCCCACACAACCAACTGCCTAGATATAGGGTCACTTGTATATCCCATAAACAGCCAAACTCAACGTGAGAGGCTTCCTTCTCCCACCACACTCAGTTAGTTTTGATGAATGTAGATTCAATGAGAGCAGAACAAGTTATTCTCTACTCTCTGCTTAAACAACAGGACTCTGAATTCTAAGCTGATCTGGTTGAGATTTCTTCTCTGTTCTTTATCAGCATTAGGCACCATGACTTTATCTGTAAGTAAAGCAAAACTTGTATTTCCTTGTATCTTAGGGTATTTTAACTCTCGCTTTCCCTAGGCAACAAGCAGGGATTTCTACGATTAAGAGGGCCATTTGATTTGTAGGTACTCTGCATGGAAGGACCTATATGATTATCTTAACACCAAAACAACATGTAAAGGCCAGGTGCACGCACATTTCATGTAATACATGAGAAGGCTTCTAAAACCATACCAGGAAAAGGTTTATTCTGCCTAACACTCATGATTGTACTCTATCTGCCTATTAAAGATTACAAAGAGAGTCAAAATTGCAAGAGAATTAGAAATATTCCAATAAGAAAGGAAAACTATACCTCTTCATGCTCCGTGAGAGCCATCTATATATACCCTTACCCTCCCTCAATGAGGCAGCAAATACCATGACATAAATAAAACGTCCTAAGAATCTTTAAGAAAGTTAAGTCTCTAATTTCTTTACTTCATTTCAATAAAGAGCCATAGCTACTCAAAGGTGGGGGTGAGAGAGGTAAGGGAGAAAAAGGTGCTAGAACTGGTGAGAAATGACACTATCATCTACTCAGAGCCCCTGCCAAAACTGGGGGCTATCCTAGACTCCTCCTCTCTCTCTCTTATCTTCTCCAACTCATGCAATGGGTCAGTTTTTGAGCCAACTGAGGTGTCTACCGCAGCTGCTGGGGACACAAAACAGGTCCCAGCAACTCAGAGCCCTCAAGTTATTCCCAGGGGAGACAGAGAAACAGACTTTTACAGCATAAGGAGGCAAGTGCTCTGACAGACACCATCCCAGGGAATTGCTACAAGAGCTGGCAAGAAAGATGCCTACGCAGGCTGTCAGGTCGGCAAGGCTTTGCAAAGGAGACACTGGAAGTAAGGTCTAAACAATGCGTGGGAGCCAACCAGGGAAAAAGAGGGAGGACGTTGCTGACTAAAGCAGAGAGCAATGAGGGAGCTACAACCAGGGCGGTCAGGCAGGAGCGTCAGAGGCGAGAGCCAAGACCCAGATCATGCTCTTAGGAGACTAGGGGATTGGAAATTATTCCAAAGATAGTAAGTGAGGGAGTTTAAATCAGAAAAACAAACCCACCTACAAGTGGGTAAGACGCGTACGTGCTGAGGGTGGATCTTAAAAAAAAAAAAAGAAAAGAAAAAAAGCATAGATTGAAATATAAAGACATAAATACAGGGGCGCCTGGGTGGCTTAGTCGGTTAAGCGTCTGACTTTCGCTTAGGTCATGATCTCTCGGTTCGTGGGTTCGAGCCCCGCGTCGGGCTCTCTGCTGACTGGCAGCTCAGAGCCTGGAGCCTGTTTCAGAGTCTGTGACTCCCTCTCTCTCTGACCCTCCCCTGCTCACACTCTCTCTCTCTCTCTCTCTCTCTCTCCTAGAAATAAATAAAAAACATTAAAAAAAAACAAAAAAACAAAAATAAAGACATAAATACATAAATTTTAACTCAATCTTAAATTTTAAAAGGGGAAAAGAAAGTATATACTATAGTAAGTTCTGTTTATAAAAAACAAAGTAACACTTTTTCTTGGTAAATTTAAAGTATACACATGCGAGTACCAAAGTCTAGATTTTCAAGTCTATTCTTATTTCTTTCATACATCCCTTAATATGTTTTTCTTAATACATTTTTTAACAAATCTACCTGAAGTTGCCTTTATGGTAATCTTGAGTCATTCTGACGCTCGCTCCTGACTGATCTACAACCATAAGAACAAAGTAAAAAGATATTGAAGCACTCTAGCTTTTATCACTATTAAAATCAAAATTTGAAAACAATAAAGGTACAAGTAACTCTTTACAACCACATTATGGGAAAGGAGAAGGCCAATCTTCTTTCATCATGCAGTATCTAGGTATCATTCCAGACTCACTTCCTGTGTGTTTCTTCAGCAATTCATGAATATACACTGTATCTTTGGTCCACATGGCATAGGCCTTTCTGAAAGTACTTTATATGCTTTTAAAAATAACTATTGACATTGTGATTGTTTTTTAAACTTCCAGCAATGAAAGTTATGAAAAGCTATTAAATAAACTACATCTATTTTGAAGCGGAACAACTTTTCTCTGATGGCCTCAAATCAAACAATAACCCTCATCAATTCCCAATTAGTAATTATTCTTAAGAGAGGACTAATTTCCAGAATTAAGCTAGTTATTTCTTTATTTAACTCTCTTCAATACTTTCTTCATGAGAGGAGGGTTAGAACATCAAAACAGGATTCATGTGACAAAAACACAGTCAGCACTTTTTATGGGCAGAGAGAAGCTGCTCCCCTTTTACAAAAAACCAGACCACTTAACTTGAACTAGGAATGGTCATTCCCCTAAGTAAGGGAAATATAAGGATTATTTTACTAACATAAACATTTAGCAAATTAGCCTCAAATCAATTTGATCTGACTGCTGGTCCTATTTTAACTTCAGGTCCTAATTCCAGGAATTCAGACCCTTTTTCCTTGTTGACTGAACCTCTAACTTGTGCCTAATTACCAAACTTGCCTCTGTCTCGACTCCATACTTCCTCCTCACTTCCATCAACTTCATGTCTGGCATATCCCTGTCGTTCCTAGTCCTGGCTCCCATGTCATCCTATTCTGAGATCTTCCAGAACTTAAAATTCAGAATCCAGAAACCAAACCCAGACTCAAAAACTACATCTCTGAATATCTCAACACTTACCACTTGCAGATCAGAGCTTTGTATCACACAGTAAGACCTTCCTCACACTATGTCCTACAGTCTTACAGGGACATGTGTCTGGCATCCAACACAGACTTCTCTGAAACCAATTACTCAATTGATCTGGACATTCTTTCACTCCAGGATCTGCCCAGACCTTCTGTCCCATATCATCACTGGGACGCAGGCACCTGCTGTTCCCTGGATGGCCAGTTCTGACGAAAATGGTCCTAGGTCTTGCAGGAAAGACAAATATGTTCAGGACATGATTCACACCTTCCAGATACTTATATTCCAGGAAGGAAGCTAAGATAAGTAACTACAGGGAGAGTCAATAGGTACCAAAAGCTTAAACAAGCAAAAGAAAGATTTCTTTATATCCTCTGTATAATATTAGAACAAAGCCTTAAAGGATGAAGATTATTTTAATATACTGAGATTGAGTAGCTGAAATGTAGAAAGTAGACACTAAAAGAACTGAGAAAAGCATATTAAAGCAGTAAAGCCACGCGGGTACAATGTGTACCAAAAAAATGGTAGATGGTCAGATGTGACTAAAATATAAAAGAGTATTAAAAAAAGTGAATCTAGAAAGATAGGTCAGGGTCAGGCTGAAAGTGGTTCCAATGTAGAGCCATTAAAATTAGGTGAGCCAGGCAATATGATACAGTATTTGGTCACTGCTTGCTCCCATATTCTATAATTAATAAAAACTGAAATATTTTTAAAAGCATAAAGCTAGATCTGTGTTTAGACTATTTTTTTTACTCAGCCCCAGCTACCTACCAACAACCTCCAAATTTCTCTTTCTTCAACCAGTGAATTGGTGGGACCCAGTAGGAAAATGGGGAGAAAAATAAAGGAACAAATAGAAAAGGAGGAAACACAAAGTGAACAGAAGTGTAGACTCATTCATCTTACAAATGCTGGAAACCCCAGAGATCAGATGGTCTGTCCCTCTGCTTTCTGGCAAGTATGCCTTCAGAGTTCAGAGAAACCTCACCTCACTGTGAAACTAAGTTCAACATCGAATCCAGTCCAATCAACAGGATCGTCTTCTGAACAGCATATGCAAATATCCCACAAAATTCACACAAAAAAAGGAAAATGGGCATTCTTACTGTGGAAATACTGGCATTCAAAAGATGACAACCCAACGCATGAACAAAAATGGCCTAGGAAAGGTAGCACTGCCTGATCAGGGACCACACATTGTGAGACAAGGGTCCCAACATATCCTAACTCAACATGGTCAGTGCATCGTTAAAGCCCAGGCTCCATTTTATATTATCTGAACCATTCAGCACACTACCAATGCTCTCTCCTAGGCCAGACACTCAACTCTTAAACTGAGTTCTTTGAATATTAATTCAGTTCACACGAAGAGTCGGACTCTGTGCTTGAGATTTGAAAAGATACAAAAATGAACCTGAACTTAATCCAGAACTTCAAAACCTTCTTTGTCGAGCTGCCTCTTCTCACCATATGAAAAAAGATGGGGGTAGAATTGGCCATTAACAATAAAGGCCTGGATTGATTGATTGATAAACTACAAATTAAGAAAAAGGTGTTGCAGAAAAACACTGATGGAAAGCAGTTTTTAAATGACCAAGTGGGTTTTCGTGAATAAAGAACACAACTTGCATGCAAAGATTGGTATCTAATGACAAGAAGGGAACTTAGAAGCGACTCTTGTTATCAATGGAAATAAGACAGTCATGGAAAAAGGAACGGGTTACTCATCATGATGTTCTTGAACACTTTCCAGCATGGCTGGATAGGCAAGGCAGGAGAGCTTCACGCAGCCAAGCCCAGGAACAGGGCTGAAAACTTCAAGGAGGACAGTTGTGACTGGAGGCAAAATCTCAGAGTGCAGGCAAAGGGCTTTGCCCTGAAGCAAAAAGCAAACCATCTCAGAAGTAAGGGAAGTGGTAAGCTTTCACACCTAGCTGAGAGAAATACTGTAGAAATGCCAAAAATGGTGAGAACAGCCTACGCTATAAGCAGTACATTAACAAGGGACCATTTGTCGGGATAGAATAAGAACACTTAGATGTGCTGTTTTCTTTCACTTGTTTAAAGTGGAATTTTCTCTCCTGTAACTGGTTCGATTGTTATTTATAAAATATTTATACTTTACCTAGTTGATTTTAATTGATTTACAACCATCATTTCAATACTACCTATCCACCATTTGAGCTGAGACAGGAGTTACACATGCTAGAAGACCTTAATTCAGTCTGTGCCAAGGGGCTGCATTAACAGTAAGAATAGGCTCTCATTATAAACAAATATTTTTTTGAATTAAAAAAATATCCTTTTACAAAGACCATATGGTATTTCTTAGCCTCTTGAGGAACACCTGCATTACTTATTGTAAATGCAGGTTCTCATCACAGTCTTTTTAAAAACTTTACCTTTTTTTTTTTTTTTTTACAAATAGTTTATTGTCAAATTAGTTTCCACATAACACGCAGTGCTCATCCCCACAAGTGTCCTCCTCCATGCCCATCACCCCCCTCCCCCCCACATCCATCAGTCCTCAGTTTTTGTCAGCATTCAAGAGTCTCTCATGGTTTGCCTCTCTCCCTTTCCCCCACCTTTTCCCCCCTTCTTCTCCCCCTTGTTCCTCCGTCAAGTTCCTCCTAATCCTCCTATACGTGCAAACATATGATATTTGTCCTTCTCTGCCTGACTTATTTCGCTCAGCATAACACCCTCACGGGCCATCCATGTTGCTACACATGGCCAGATTTCATTTTTTCTCATTGCCATGTAGTATTCCATGGTATAGATAAACCACATCTTCTTGATCCATTCATCTGTTGATGGACACTTAGGCACTCTCAACAATAGCTAAAAACTTTACTTTTAAATAATCTCTATACCCAACATAGGACTCAAACTCACAACCCTGAGACCAAGAGTCACATGTCCTACTGACTGAGCCAGTTTTTAACTGTCAGTGCTTGTACTTATCAAATCAGAATCTCCAGACACAGACATTCTGAGGACTACAGTTTGAGAAACATAGTCGCAGGACGAATGCTTTGAAAATATAACCTGTCTTGGTAGTAGCAAAAGAGTCAGCCATATATTCTTAAACAGCTATACAAATTTTGTAAATTATCTTCAATATACAAATAGATGTAACTAATTCAAGAAATCATGAAATAAATCCTTTCGGATTCATTTGATTAATCTCTAATCATTCTGCTTTGTAAAGCAGAACTTTCACTGAAGTAGGAAACACATATAACAAGCAAACTGAGAACCAACTTCTAAGAGACAGGCATGGCTACAGAAATAAAGGAAACAGAGCCAGTCATGTTTTCTGAACCAGAGCAAGAGGAGAAATTAGAGGGAGAAACTGGTCAGTGGCACTGCCAAACATTCTGGACACATATACAAGCAGCAATGGAGGCATCCAAGTTATTTTCAATATACCAAGATGACAAACAGTATGAAGGCTGACTCTTGTAAATCAAGGTGTCTAATATAATGAAATATGTGTTTACAAAGTATGGATCAAACAACCACTTATGAACTTTCTGGCCTTTACTATCCTATCTACTGCCTCTAAATGCTCCTTCCTAGGATCATCCTCCATATCCCTCCAGGGATATAGCAACGCTGCTGTTACTCACTTTAGAGGCAAAGGAAATATTTCACCTGCCTGATTGTGCAGGGGTGATTCACTAAAATATTTCATGACTTAAATCAAGGCCCTGATATGGGCAATCAGAGGTTCAATGTCATCACGCCATCAGCAAGTCTTTATTGGGCATGTACCATGAACAGTGCAAGATTCTGCTAATTCAGAAGTGACAAAAAGAAGAAAAAATCATGAGCCTATTAAAAACATTACAAAGGTAACAACATAAGGCAACACTGACTGTTAGGGAATCAAGCACAGTGTGGATTAGCAAGTTTACATCCTTGGGTTTTAGTTTATTTTCACAATAAATGAAAAGGTCAGTTTAGACAATTTATGTTTCCTTCCAGTTCTGAAAAT